GAAGGGACTTGTTTGTGCCACAAAGGAAAGAAACAGATCTGATGGGGGGTGGGGGAGGCTGCGGAGTCCTTTGATCAAGCCATGGCAGAGGAGGGGAAGGCTGGCAGTTGAGCCAAGAGCTCGAGATAAAATGGGACAAATTGTGGGGGGGGGGGAGGATAAAAGGGAAATGGGCTGAGGGGACGGTTGGCGGGGGAACTCTTCCAGCGAGAGGGGCCCCCTTTGAGGGAGGATCCAGCCTTGGCCACAGACACGGATTTTGGGTGCCAACAGTGAGGAGGCAAGGCCTCTGGCCCTGGGGCAACTTCCGTGGCCAGCCGAGCTTCTTGCAGGGGGTGCAGGCGGTCCCGGGGGGTCTTTGAACGGCTGATCCTCGGGCGAGGGGTCTCCACGATCGAGGTTCATTAACATTCCCTGATGGTTAAAAGCCTCTTGCTGCAAATTTGCCCTGCTTGACAGTCCCGGTGGAAGGAAACACAGAAGGCGACTAAAAACGCAGGGGCAGAGAGAGGGGGTGCGGGCATGGCCTCGCTCTCCCCCCAGGTGGGGAGCTGAGGAACGATTCAGATTGTGAAGATTGCCTGCTGAGCTTCTGCTTGGGCTGCGGTCCAACTGCCCCTTTTCCCTCCCAACTTCCCCTTTCTCTGCAGCTGCCAGGCACCCTTCTGTCCTTCTGGAGCCTTTGGTGGGGCCAGCTGACCCCTCCTCCATGAGGCACCTCGGGGCTGCCTTGCATCCGGTTCCACAAAGCCCGGGTTGCGTGCTGGGCCCCCGGAGCTGGCCCTCGTCCCTCTGCCATCGCCTGGGCCTTCGCAGCTGGCAAGGAAGGGAGCCAGGAAGAGGCCTTGGGCATTGCCCTGGCACTAGTCAAGCAGGATGCACGGGCGAGCATCTTGGCAAATCGAAGCGGAATTAAAATATTCCCATGAACGCAGGCCTAGCGAAACAGCCCCCAGAGAGGTCGGGACAGAGAGCACTGAAGCTGCAGCAGGAGGAGAATGTGTCCTCACCCAGAGCAGACTGACCCCGAGAAGATGCCCCAGTCGGCCCCCTCCGCCTCCGCTCTGGCCACGGGACACAGGCTGGGGGAAACAGGCCGGCAGAGGGGACTCTGTGGGTGAGCAAGCAGAGAGCCCTCTCCTGGCTGGCCCTTCGGGACGTTTCCAAAGAGGGTCGTGTCCAGATGAAAAAAGCCTTTCTTGTTTCAAGCAACAGGAGGGGTGTTTTCTCTTTGCTGGGAACAGGGTTAAAATGGGGGGGGGGAGCTTGAAGAATGGGCAGTCACTCAGTGGGAATCGCACTCTGTGCGTGCGGGTGCGTGTGCATGTGTGTGCGTGTGAGTGAGACTCAGCCTCCTTTTCCTTTCCCCGGAGGAGGAGGAGGAGGAGGAGAGGCCATAAATGAGTTGCCTTCGGAGACGACGCCAGCACCGCAACCAGGGCTGGCGCCTGGTCATTTCAGCAACCTGACAAGGAAGTGTGTTCATTGGCCTTGCTTGACCACTAGGCAGAACTTCTTAGAAAAAGGGGGGGGGGGGAGAGATTTGGGACGCCCGCCCTTAGTTGACTGCGCCCGCCCTTAGTTGACTGCGGCTTAATCTGCCTCCAACTAACTTCCCCGGGGGATTTTTTTGCAATTAGCTGGGGAGTAACACCCCACTGCATTTGGGGGCAAAAGACCCTCCCTGTAAGACTCCCAGCCTTCTCCCCCTTCCCTTCCCTTCCCTTCCCTTCTCAAATGACTTACTTTGCTTAGCAACAGGGCTACCCCAGTTCACCTCACTTCTCCTTGTTTGTGCTGCCAGCTAGACCTGATTCCTTTTAATGGGGCCATTTGATACTCTGATTAAATCAAGGCTTGTCCACACCACAATGTCCAAGTAGGGAACATAAGCCAGGCCTGGATCCGGCCCAAGATCGATGGCATTCTGTTTCCCTCGGCAGCCAGCGAGCGAGACGCACGCGGGCTAAAGAATGCCAGCTGGCCCAGGAGTGAAATCAGTGTGCGAAAAAAGTGAAAGTAGAAGGAGCCAGGTTTCCATTAAACTGTGAACTGGAGGGCTGTGGTGGGAGGACAGAAAGGGGGTCAAGAGCCCCCCAAGGAAAGCAGAGTACCGTGTAACTGTCGAAGAATTGTGGGGTGGTGAGGAAGCCCCAGCTCCCATTCCCCCCCCGGGATGGACGATGACGTGGGGCTTTATTGGTCTGTTGTGGTTTAATCCCGCCCCCCCATATTCCCCTCAAGCCCTCCTGCAGAGAACATCCCCCAATGCCGGAGGTTAGTGTGAGCCCCCTAATCTGCCCCCCTTCCTCCCTCCTCTGCCCCAGATGACCTCGGCCACCAAGGTGTATTACAGCCAGACGACTCAGACCGACAGCCGTCCCCTGATTGGCCCAGCGCTGCGGAAGAGGCGGGTCATGACCAAAGACGGGCGAAGCAATGTGAGGATGGAGCACGTCGCTGGCAGGCGCTTCCTGTACCTGAAGGACTTGTGGACAACCTTCATCGACATGCGGTGGCGCTACAAGCTGATCCTCTTCTCGGCCTCCTTTGCCGGGACGTGGTTCCTCTTTGGGGTCATCTGGTACCTGGTGGCCTTGCTCCACGGCGACCTGCTGGAGTTCGACCCTCCCGCCAACCACACGCCGTGCGTCATGCAAGTCCACACGCTGACCGGCGCCTTCCTTTTCTCCCTGGAGTCCCAGACCACCATCGGCTACGGCTTCCGCTACATCAGCGAGGAATGCCCGCTGGCCATCGTCCTACTCATCAGCCAGCTGGTCCTCACGACCATCATGGAAATCTTCATCACTGGCACCTTCTTGGCCAAGATCGCTCGGCCCAAAAAGAGGGCAGAGACCATCAAGTTTAGCCAGAACGCGGTCGTGGCTCAGCACGACGGCAAAACTTGCTTGATGATCCGGGTGGCCAACATGCGCAGAAGTCTTCTGATAGGCTGCCAGGTCACGGGGAAGCTCCTTCAAACCTACCTCACCAAAGAAGGTGAGAACGTCCAACTCAACCAGGTCAATGTGGACTTCCAAGTCGACACGTCTTCCGACAGCCCCTTCCTCATCTTGCCTCTCACCTTCTACCACGTGGTGAATGAACGCAGCCCCTTCCGGGACATGGCCCTGCGCACAGGAGAAGGAGACTTTGAGCTGGTGGTGATTCTCAGTGGCACCGTCGAATCCACCAGTGCAACGTGCCAGGTTCGCACCTCTTACCTCCCCGAGGAGATCCTTTGGGGCTACGAATTTACTCCGGTCATTTCTCTCTCGGCCAGCGGGAAGTACGTCGCCGACTTCAGCCTGTTTGAGCAGGTGATCAAAGTGGCCCCTCCATGCTGCCTCCACGAAACCACGCGGTTCGGTGACCCCGAGAAACTGAAGCTGGAGGAATCCTTTCGGGAGAAAGCCGAGCGGGAAAGCGCCCCCCTGAGCGTCCGGATCAGCAACGTTTGAGTCCTCCTGGGGTGACTGGTCTCCCGTAGCTTCTAGGCATCCGTCGCAGGCCCCCCGCTCGCTGTGTTCCCTGCTTCCCTGCCAACCTCTTCAGCTGCTGGTGGGGAGGAGGCTCCCCAAAAGAGAACGCAGAAGAGCCTCCTCAGCCTCCAGCAGAACGAACGTTTCCTCCTCCAGCATCGCCTCCTGTGCGCTTTTATTCCCCTTTTCCTTCCTTTTTTTGAAGCACACAGGGTGGCAGAGGCAGGGCTCACAAGGGCAGCTGAACGCGCCAGCAGCGAGGCAGTCCTGAAACCTGGAAGTGCCTGAGGCTTCCCTGTGCGCAGCTCCGCTCCAGCCACGCTGGCTCGCGGGATCCTTGCTTTGAATCTCCAAAAGCTCGGGATCCCCAAACTCAAGGCAGCTCCAGCCCCTGTGAGAAACAGGAAGGGTCCTGGTCTCTGCCCACCCGCGGGGGACCCTGTGATCGCAGCTGCCGTTTTGCTATTATGACTGTAGAAATAGACATCAGAAATGCTGCAGCTTTTGAGCCCAGGAAGGAGAATGAATGAGAACGCAGCCCCAGTTCTCCCACTGGCTTGCTGCTGAGAAAGTGGCCCTCGCTACTGGCATGATAGAGGGCAGTGGAGAAAAACAGGAAGGGGAAGGATTGCGTCCAGCTGGGGAAACCCATCTGATTCTATGCTAGTTGAAAATCAGCCGGTGGTGCCTGTTCCTAAAGCTAACATAAAGCTCCATGTTTTTCACCTTCGTCCGGCCAAATTCACCCCAAGTATTTTGTTTCAAATATCTCAGTAAATGTAGAGGGAAACTGAGGCACTAAACGTTTAATGGACTTTGAAGCCAAAACAATCCTGCCCGGTCACAGAGTGCCTGACGCTGGGGAATCCGCCAGTTCCCCAAACTGTGCCAGAAAGAGGTCCGCTTGGGGAAAATGGATCCCTTTGGGCGTGTGCCTGTTTGCAGCTGGATGACCACTTCAGTCAGGATTGCCCCAAAATTTCCGCCCCAAAGAAGAGTCTGGCTTTTGCAGTTGAGGTCTTCAAAGGAGCTGGAGGAGGCAAAGCATGCTGAAAACCTGTGGTTACTTGCGGCTCCTGAGGGCTGGATCGATTGCGCTGTGGGGTCATCCCTGGCTGGCTCTGCGCGGGAGACAAGCCGGACTGGCGTCAGATGGCTTCTTGCAGGGACAGGAGAGTCCAAACTGGTGTTTTGCACATCAAGGAAGAGGGAGAGTATAGCTTCCTCTCGGGACATAAATGTCTGTTATGATATATATAT